GCCCGAGTGCGGCTCTAGTCCTCATGGAGGTCTTGGAGGTTCGGGGTCGCGCAGCCCCTACCTGCTCGTTTCGCTTCATGCGGGCACGCCCTCCACTTGATCGCCAGCCGCAGCGACCAATAGGCTACTGTCCCGTCCCGCAGGGGGCGGGCACGGCAGCCACGTGCGGAGTGAGGGGCCCGGTGCGCGGCCACGTGATGGGCGGGTCCAGCGCGGAACACGTGCGGGGAGGAGCCAAAGGCGCCCTCTTGTCGGGCTGCCTCACTTCCCATTGGCCGTTTCACGGGCTCTGGCTTCGTCTCCCGAGGCCGCTCCAGGCCAGGCGGGCTAGGAAGGGGGCGGCGGCGACTTTCGCGCAGCGGAAGCGCCACTTGAGGGTCAGCTCCGGATTCGTGTGAACCGCCAGAGGTGCCGCTTCCCCTCCCCCACGGGAAGGACTAGCGAGGCCCCGCGGCTAGAGCGGCGAAGCAGCAATCTAAGAAGTCCCGGGCCCGGAGTGCTTCCCTCCCATAGCGCAGGCGCCTTTCTGTCCCCATAGAGCTCGGATCGCCAGAGCGTCGCGGCGGAAACCAGGCGCTCCGAACCCGCCTCTCTGACCGGACCTAGGTGGCCCCCCACAGAGAGGGGGCGCGCATGCGCCAGACAGGGCAGGGCCTGATTGGTCCACAGCGGACGCGGGTCGGCGTTGCCTGCGCAAAAGCAGCCGGAAATCTCGCGGGGGGAGCGCGGGGGATCCTGCCTGACCCCGGGACTCCCGTCGCCCCACCGGTGCAGCCCGGCGGCGCGGTTGCTATCCGGCCGGTGCAGAGGCTGCGAGATGGGCGGCAGATGAACGGGAAGAAGGAAGGAAGGAAGGAAGGAAGGAAGGAAAGAAAGACTCCCCGCTGTGCCCGATCCCGGCTCCGATCCCAGCAGGGCCCGCCGGGAAGGGGGGGAGGCGGCGGCGGCTGGGAGCGCCCGCTGACCGCCCGTGCTGAGCCCGGAGCAGCCCCCGACCCGCCATGGAGGCCCGGAAGGCTGCGAGGTTCGCCCTGCAGGCGCAGGAGGAGGAGGTGAGCGCCCGTCCGTCTCCCTCCCCTCCCCGGCAGGTAGGCCCAGCCCCGGGAGGAGCCGCCCCCTTTCCTGCTCAGCGCCTCTCACCCGGGAGCCCCACCGGGCCGACTGAGGGCGTTCTCGTCGGCCTAAAATCCGCTGCCAGGGAGAGGTGGGGGGAGCGCTCACCGCTGGGCGTCCATGTCCCTTCACGGAGAGCAACAGGCGAGCGTTGCCAGCTGAAGCCCCGGAGCGTCTCTTCCCATTCAAAAGGGACCACGGGGCTCCCCCCTTTTTCGGGGAAGGGGGGAGAAACAGTACCGGAAAGCGTCTGACTCCCGCGAAGCCTCCTGCCGCTTCTTCCTTGGGCCCACTGGGGGCCCATTCCTCGCCTGCCTCTGCCCCCCCCCCTTTGAGTGATCTGCCCCTTTGTGGATTCCCTTCCCTCCAGTCGGGTGATTTGGGTCCTTGTGCCCGGAAAGCCTCTCTGCGGGGCCGCCATCTCTCCGCACCTGAAACGGATTCTTTGCCGCCCCCCCCCCCATTTCCCTCATTCCCAGGTGGAGCCTCTCTTCAAACCGGTTTCAGCAGCCGGAGCCACAACCATCCCTGCGGCCTCAGCAGCGCCCAAGGGGGCATCCTATGCAGAGTACATCGTTGGTCAAGCCGTGGCCGCCACCTCCTCCGCTCAGCAGAAACCCACCTGTGCTGCTCCGGCTGTATCGGCCAGGAGCATCTCGGAAAAAGCCCCTCCTCAGAACCAGGAGAAGAGTGTGGTGCCCCCCAAAAGCACAGCGGAAGACAGAGGCTCCCCCTTGAACCCCACAGGCCCCAAAGCAGGGGCCAAGCACAACACTATTATTGTCAGTCCACGGCAGGTGAGTTGAAGCAGGCAGGCCAGCTGGGATCGTTCCTGGCCAGCCCCCCCATTTTGACAGCCTGGCGATTGTGAGGCCAGCCGTTCAAGGCCCGTGTGGGTCAGTGCTCGGGGAGAGCTGTCCAGGAAGTGGGAAGGGCTACTCTTCACATCCAGCGCAGACCACTTGGATCTCCCTGGGAACTGGTCAGGGGTGTCCTCTCCCAGGGTTCCTCAAACACCATAGGCGCTGCTAGAGTTCTGGCCTTTTTCTCTAGCTGGCCTGGCCTCTCCCCGGCTGCCGCCCCTCCCTGTTCCCTCAGCAGAAGGCCTTTCTCCACCCTGATAAAACACCTCCACGTTCCTCAGGAGTTTCCACGTACTGCTGATGCTTTTGGAGCCCAGTTAGTGTTTCTGTGGCTTCCTCCCCAGTGACAGAGGACTCTCTTCTTCTGCCTGCAGAGGGGGAACCCCATTCTGAAGTTCGTCCGCAACGTGCCTTGGGAATTCGGTGAAGTTCTCCCCGATTATGTACTGGGCCAGAGCACCTGTGCCCTTTTCCTGAGGTAAGGAGGAGGAGCCCAGACTCACTTCCGCCACCAGTGTTCAGGGGAAATTATAAAAACACTTTAAATGTACTTGCATATACAGCAATATCAGTTTTGAATACAATCTTTGCCAGTTGAAACACAGGAGCGCTTTTTGCCAGAGAGGACCATGTCTGTTCACAATTCAAAAGGAATTGGGCTTATTTCTTTTCTAGTAAAAAAAAAATCTCACAGTACTGCAAAGGAAACCATTTGATATTAGTTAAGTCTCCTGCAAATTCTTTTTGTCAGGTCCAAATGCTATTTCCCCCCTCTGGCTCCATTCTCCATTCTTTTCTTTGGAGCTTTTAAGGTTGTTTCTAAACTTCCCACGATGGCAGCTGGTGAAATGCACAACCTGAAAGGCAACAGCCGATTTTAGCCACACAGATGAAGATTTAAGATGCCTGTTGCAGAATCCAATGCAGATCTGAATCTGCCCTTTTTTCAATCATCGTTGCAACATTATTGGGGTTTGGTAAAACCGAATCTTGATATCGGCTGCCCCTTTGAAAAAGACCAACTCCTTTCTGACCCCTTTGCCTTTGAAGCCTCCGGTACCATAACCTGAATCCAAATTACATCCACGAGCGGCTGCGTAACTTGGGGAAGACATACCAGCTGCAGGTGCTCCTGCTTCAGGTTGACGTGGTGAGATGCACCCCCTTCCCCCCCCCCATACCATCCTTCCTGCCTCCTTGGGCAGCTGATTGTATGGATTTCCTTGGCCCCACATTCCTTTCCTTTCCCAGCCCAGCGTCCAGTAACCACACCAGGCCCACGCCGCTTCTGTTCATTATCTGTGGCTGCTGAGACTTTGGCAGCTGATGCAGGGCTGGGCCTGTTGCAGGGGGAGATGTTGGAGCTCAGGGCCCTTTGCTGCCTTCCAAGGCTGCCTTCCAAGCAGTTCCTCTCTTTGCCCTTTCAGAAAGACCCCCACCAGGCAGTCAAGGAGCTGGCCAAGATCTGCATCCTTGCCGATTGCACCCTCATCTTGGCTTGGAGGTGAGACCCCAGCACTGGGCGGGTGGCAGAGACCTGGCTAGGGAAGAGCCCTACAAGGGGGAGGCGCCGGAAAGCAAGTTTCTGCTTCACATTTTCCTTGAGGTGAGATGCCCCTGCTTGCGTAGGAAGTCCGTGCCTAGATTTTTTCAGAGACAGACCTGTCTCATAAGCTGCCTGAGACAGAGGGGCAGGTCTCCTGAACTTCCTGCAATGACTTTCTGATCCTGTCCCACCTGTAGTCCAGAAGAAGCCGGACGCTACCTGGAGACGTACAAGGCCTACGAGCAAAAGCCGGCTGATCTGCTGAAGGAGAAAGTAGAGCAGGACTATCTCTCACGGGTGAGACTGTTTTCCGTTGGCTGGGGAGGGAGGACAGCAGAGGCATCTCTCCCCCCCCCCCCCCCCCCCCCCCGGTCCCTCTGCCCCGGGCACAAGCTTCCACTTGCCTTGCACAGTAGCTAAACGTGGCCTGGTGCTGCCTTTGTTCTCCCCCAGGTCACTGACTGTCTGACCAGCGTGAAATCCGTGAACAAATCAGACACCCTGAGCCTGCTCTCCACGTTTGGAGTGAGTGAGCGAGCCAGTTCTCTGTGCTGGGGGTGGGTTGGGGCTTTGAGCACTCCCCGGCAGTGTACAAGCCAGAAGGGGCCGTCTGTGACCCCCCCCCCCCCCCCCCAGGTTGCTGAACTCCACTTCCCATCAGCCCTAGCCAAAGCAGCAAAAGTGGGAGGGATGGGACTTGCAGTTCAGCGATATTTGTGGAAGTGCCTCCTGTCCTTTGCTGCCAAGCCGCCTTCCCCTTGACTGCCAGGTGGGTGTTGGCACCTGGGCTTTCGCTTCTTTCTGGGCTTATGGTAGGCCTGGGATCGTCCCACTGAGTCCCTCTGCGGTTACCTTGCAGTCACTAGCCAACGTTGTGCAGGCGTCCAAGGAGGACCTTTCCCTGTGCCCTGGTGTTGGGCCTCAAAAGGTAAGTGGGGGCGGTTGCCCCAAGCCCTCGAACCCCTCGGCTGGCACAGTGGAAGGGAAGCTTCTCCCCCTTTCCCTAGTCGGGGGCTTCCCCTTTCTAAGGAGAGCCGAGTCAGCGCCTGGGCGAAGGGCAGCCCCTGGTTGCTGCCCTGGACCTCATTGCAGCTGCTCTGTGGAGCCAGAGCAACGCGGCCATTTCAGGGCGGGAAGCCAAACCTGGTAGCCCAGCTGTGATATTGCTGGACGTCCCGCACTTCGAGTCCCAACACATTTGGGAGAGGCCTGGCGGAAGAGGAGTTTGTAGCGTCTGGAAAGGCTTTTGGTGGGGAATACCTGGAATTCCCAAAGCACCTGGACACCTCCCAAGCCAGCTTGCCTTCACTTGCCCCTCCTCTTTCTCTCCAGGCCAAGAGGCTCTTTGACATCCTTCACGAACCGTTTCTGAAGGTGCCCAAGTGAGGAGGGGGCTCACGACCCAGGATGATGCAGTCTCCTTTGAAACTCCCAGAAGACCAACAACACAAACCCCCTCGGGGGAAGCCTTACTTTGCTGTGTGAACATTGCGCAACAGAGCAGACAATAAAACGCCCTCACTAGACGCTCATGGCGGAGCCTTCAGAGCTCCTGAATTTATTCGCATGAATAAAACAGGGACACTTGGCCGGAAGAGAGCTGTCCCTCCCCGGCTGTTAAGTTCCAGCTGCAAATAGTCCAGCCTGGTCCTCCCTCTCCCTCCTCCTGCCTTTCTTTTTGGGTCTGGGGGCCGCTCCGTTCCTTTGCCATGGCTCTTCCAGCCCCTCTGCCTCTTGCCAGAGGGGGGCAGCCCAGTCCAGCACGTTGGACTCCAGGCGCTGCTGCGTTTCTGTCCCCTGTTCCCATAGAGGCTCCTTGTCCAGCTTCTCCTTTTTGCAGGCCAGGAGTTCCCCAGCTGGGCCCAGATGCTCTTCCGGAAGGTGCCCCAGACAGAGGGCATCCCCCGGCTCCTCCTTGATGGCAGCAGCCAGGCCCCACAGCCCCTCCGCCGCTCTCTC